ACTCCTCTAGCTTTATTATAACCTCAAACGTATGTTGCCAGCTAAAGTTTTTAATTACCCGAGGTACAATTTCATCGCTTAAAATTACAGCGAGAGTACCTAATGTAATATACTACATATTTACCATTGCGTTAATATACCTATGCTTATTATGTCATTTAAATTTATTCATATTCAATTTATTCATATTCGCCCCAACACAAGTATTATCAATTACTTACTGGGGATGTCTCATTTATAATTCATGTAACTGGTTTGAGACAAATAAACATTTTCATTTTCATTTTTTCATTTTCATAATTCATCTTTATGTTTTTTTATTTGTCAGTTTCCCAATTGATTCGGAAATAAAATTAAACGGGTTTTAGCAACCAAGCGTGACAACTATGGCAACATACCCCCCATGATAGTAGCGAAGAGACGGCCCCCAGTCCCGGCCGGCGGCCGCGCTATTCCTGGCTACGGTGGCGACCATGGTAACGGCGGGGCAGGGGGTGCTAAGTATCTCCGATGGAGATTCGGTTGCCACCTACAACGACTCGATCTGGCAACTTATAACGCACGCACCCTGAGGACTGACGAGAAGATCCTGGAGCTAGAAGAAGAGATAGACAAGTTGCGCTGAAATATCATAGGATTATCCGAAGTCCGAAGAGAGGGGTACGGTAATCCTCGAATCCTGCAACTTGTTCTATCACCGGTTCGTCCACAAGTCTCTCATTAACAACGTTGTAAAGATTGGGAGTGTGTCGAAGAGGGTTGCGTACCTTATACTCAGAATCACCAAACGGTATTCGCTGAAGGTCATACAGGCTTACACATCAACCTCGGCACAGCCCGATGAGGAGATGGAGGAAATATATGAGGATATTTCTAGAGCCATGCATTCCTCCAAAACCCACTATACATATGCAGAATAGTGGTTACGCGATTCCGCCGTCTATTGGATTCTCTGTTTACGGTTATATGTGACGTTTCTTTACAAGACATGACGTCTTTCATCTGTAGTGATATCGTTCGCAACGTTAGCAACAATCGACATCGAGATACTCGTTTTGTTTTGTTATCTAAAAATATAAAGAAAATAGAACTAGACTTATTATTATTCGAACGATCAAGCAAATTGTCTTCTAAATCAAGTAATGATCATTATTATATTACATTGCAATTATTCATTTCGCAAACTTTTACATGTTGCAGCTACATTGTTGGATTAGTTGTATCACGAATAGGTCGGCTCGACTGTGCAAGGACCACGTTTTCACAGAATACCAGCGTAAAATAGCAGGTGAGTGTAGAGAACTGGAGACTCTTTTTACTAGAAACTGAAAATAGTTTAGGCATTCCATCTTAGTCATCACGGGTGACAACGCATCTGTATTTTGATTCGTAATCGTGGGTAGATGTAGATGTCTGTGGGCCCCAGCAATCATTTATCGTCAGGTGGACTGTGTGCTCGTTTGTCACCCTTATCTTATAAAAAAATAGTTAGGTAGGTATGAATACTAAATCTTGATAGACAGACGGTACATAAGCGAGTTGGATCTCATCTGTAAACCCAATTTTATATGCTGACTAACGATCAACGATAACCGTTTTCTTGACAACAGCGCTGCTTACTGGGTTGTGAGTGTGAGTGGTTATCAAAATCAGTCCAACTGTTATCAAGTGATGATCTTTCATACATGCGGCAATTGATTTTAATTATATAGATTTACCACTTGCAAAGCGGAAAACCACAACATATTCAACAAAGCTTTATCTGTTTCGATGAAAATGCAGTAAAACTCGCTTAAGACGATTTGAAGGGAAGCAGCTAAAATCGCGACTTAAGCGGGAAAGCGTATTATAGGAAAAATAAAACATATTATTTACAAATTTTGTGTAGGTATTGAATTAAATGTATAGTTTGAAAGGTATATTATTATGCATATGTATATGTATTTAAATGTGACAAACGAGCACATAGTCCACCTGATGGTAAGTGGTTGCTGTGGCCCATAGACATTTACATTTATCCTCGATTACGAGTCAAAATGCAGATGTGTTGTCACCCGTGAGGACTAAAATGGAATGCCTCGTTTCCAGTAAAAAGGGCCTCCGGTTCTCTACACTCACCATACGAAACATAACAGCATTAAGCTGCTGTTTTACACTGGTATTCTGTGAGAGTGTGGTCCTTCCCCGGTCGAGCCAACCCATTCGTGTTACAACTATACCAGTTAATTATTCTTTATAATGACCCTATTTAAAATAATCACTTATTTTGGTTTAACAAAGAGATTTTGATGCATTAGTAATGACAAGCCTTTCAATATAACTTAACTTTTGCAGTGTGTCTTCACTTTCCCCGAAAGATGATACATAGCGCCTTAAATCGTTTAAAACTGATAATAGCTCTGCGTTTGATTAAATCGGAATTGACTTACCTTCACCTTCATGGTCATCACTTAAGGCCTATATTTTGGTGTTATTTACATCTTTTTTTTATAGGATCGGGTGACAAACGAGCACACAGTCCACCTGATGGTAAGAGGTTACTGTGACCCATAGACATCTACATCTATCCTCAATAAAGACTGAAGATGCAGATGCGTTGTCACCCGTGAGGACTAAGATGGAATGCCTCTTTGCCAGTAAAAAGGGTTTCCGGTTCTCTACACTCACCATACGAAACACAGCAGCGTTAAGCTGCTATTTTACGCTGGTTTTCTGTGAGAGCGTGGTCCTTCCCCGTTCGAGCCGACCCATTCGTGCTACAACCATAATATAGCTGCAGCATGGCTCTACCACGTATAAAATCTTCAATAAGATCTTCGATTGAACGGAATTCGTAGGGTGCAACATTGTCATCAATAAAAGAATATCCAGGAAAACCCTGCAGTATCGCGAGTTCTTCTTCCGACACGACGTCAGCTTCGTTATTTCGGAAACCAGCATTCTTGAAACAATTTTGTCTGGTTTCAGGCTTAATTGCTTGCCATGCCGCTACAATGTTTAGGTTCACATCATGTACAGTTAGGGGTCGTTTGCTGTCAGGGTCTTTCATGTCTTTAAGATAGGGATGTGTCAATCTTGTTTTGTAGTCTTGTTTAAGGACTTTTATAAAGCTCTAATCTGAGGCAAGAAAACAAGCTTGATGTTCTTTAGCTCAACATCTTTAGGGTTGACTTAGCTAACTAAAGTGAGCGGCGTGCGCATCCACGCGGGTGAGAGATCCGCAAGACGATAAGTGAGCACACTTGACAACTCTCGACTTGGCTCGGGTGTTGCACAGATGGCGTATAAGACGGGATGACGAATCGTATTAACGTGTTAAATATTATGGAAACATACCTCAAATTACAGGAACTGATATGAAATCGTTTATTATGCAAGAAATCGTATTAAACATGATGGTATTAAACGAGTTTTACTGTATTTCGAAATCATGACGTTAAGGCAGGGTCTTGATAATGCCATGTAGCGGCAGCGTATACCAAACTACTACCTCCTACTAAATATTATATATTATTACTTAGAAGCTCTAATACCCTATACCATCCCATAAAGTATCGTAAAAGACGACATTGAGAAATAAAACAGGAGATAGGCAACAGTATCTCTTCCTATCAGAAAAATCAACTGAAAATGTAAAAAGTTGCGGTTGCCAAACCTACTTGCTAAGAGAAGGAACTATGGTAAATATTCTTCCTTAGTTCAGCAGTGGACTTTTGATAAGCTGGAATTAATTAAATAATGTTGGATAATATCTTGAGGGAGCCTCTGCTTTCTAGAATAACGGGTAATACGTTCTTAATAGATTTATTGCTAGTTGTGATTTAGCAACAAAAGAAAAGGCTCACCGCGTTCGTGCCGCTGTTATTATACTATCGTAGCAGTGCCCTCTGTGTACGTTCCACGAAACAAACCGAGTGACGATTAGATAAGCACAGTTATTATTCCCTGTGAATCCACAAACTAACAAGAAGTGCTAGCCCACTGTGAAACCCATAATAAGTCTAAGGATAATTTGGCGGAAATATAAAGCTGACTTTAAGTAGATTTCATAGTGACCTGTTTACGATACATTTTAATTTATGCACCGATAGTACGAAATTCCGCATTATTTGACTACGTTTTTGTTGTAAGATGTCAGATAAAGCTTCTATAAACTTTCATTGATTTAAATAAGTATTACGAATCGGGCTGATAATAATTTAAAAATTAAAATTTTGTACAACTAACTTCAATATAAATTATTAAGAATAATTTAATAATTATTCGTCAGACCTTGATCAAATTTATATGGGACCATTTATTTGAAAGTGGGTAATTCTAAAATTACCAACTTTATTTACTCATTTATTAGAAAGTGGGTAATTCTCAAATTAACAACTTTCAAATAAAAAAGAATCATCAAAATCGGTTCACGCAGAAAAAAGTTATAAGATAACACATATAAAAAATGGTGAATTGAGTACCTCCTCCTTTTTGAAGTTGGTAGAAAATCCCTTTTTAAATCATAGAATAAATGAATTTTTCGACAACGTTTTTTGTTTCGCTAAAGGCACATCAATAGAGGTATCTATAGATGAAAAAAGCAACAACCTTGTTAAAGAAAGAATGTTTGAATTATATAGCTAGAATATATTATAATTATAATATTTTCTAACTTCAGGCCCAGAAGGATAAGATCCCAGAGCCTTAAAGCCAGTTATTAAAGAAAGGTATTATTTGAAAATTTTGTAAAATTGGCAACATTGAAAGTCTCTATTAAAACGTAATGATTTACTCTTTGGTCAAAATTTTATTTTCCAATCTAGTGTAAAAATGATAGGTGGAATCTGTCGAAAATGAAGAATTCAGTTTTTCCGTTCCATAGAACTTTAGATGTGTCCTAATTTTATTAGTATCTCATAATGATTTAGTTTTTAAGATTGTGGAAGTAGTTAATAAGGGATTTCGGTGTGCTAAAGTCATAAGACTTGTGTCATCTGTCTGATTGTTCTTCCTTCAAGATGGCTCCTCTACCGGAGTATGATAAGGAACCGAAAGCCCCAGATAAAAGTGTCACAAATTTATCTGCCGACGACTCGAAAGTTTCATACAACCTTGTTAAGGAACAGCAAAATAATTTGGACCATAAATCTTCTAATGCCACAGCAAACGCCGAAATCGAGGTAAGTCGTTCTCTTTTCTCTTTTATAAATTTTTTAGGCTCTTATTTGTTTTCCGGTAGTTGTATTATGCACATGATTACTTATTCGATATACACTATTTGTTACTGGGATTTAAGAAAGTTATGTCTATTGAGAGGACGATTTGTTGCTAAAATTATTGGCTTGAAAATGGCGAAGGATAAATGTCAAATTTATGCATTTGTTCTCATACCTTCTATTGATAAGTATGAATTAGCAATTTTTTTTCATAATAGAATGGCACATGAGGCTCTTTAATTATTAAAATTAAAACAATAAATTGCATTTTTGTCTTAAGTATATTATGAAAAACATGAAGAATATTTCAACACATGTATTTTCCATCACAAGTGTACTTGAAGATTAACATTTATTGTGTTTAACTTAATATAATATATGTTTGTCAAAGTACTGATTTTACAAATTTAAGTTTGCAAACAGTTAACACCTTCAGTGCTAACTTTTAGCTTTACATATTTATAGAGTATTAAACCTTTGCTTTAGTTTACTGAGTATATAAGTTACCTACATGATATAATACCTAATACCTTTTTTTAAATGTAGTAGTACATTAGACCCTGCCAATTTTAGATGTATTTCTGTACTACCAAGACTTAGTAAGATTTTTGAAAAAAATATTCTTGATCAAATGTTAAATTTTTTTAATATAAATAATTTACTTCATAAAAATCAATTTGGTTTTACTAGGAGTCGCTCGACAACTGAAGCTGGTGTTGAGCTGATTAAATATATCTTTAATGCATGGGAGAATTCACAGGATGCTTTGGGTACATTCTGTGAAATATCCAATGCCTTTGATTGTGTTCACCATGAAACATTCATCAAGAAACTTCAACACTATGGTGTAAGAAGTGATGCTCTTAAATTAATTATTTCATATTTAACTAACATAATGTAAAAAGTTGTCATTAACAGTATGAGCTTTTCAGGGTTGTTGGTACAAATGGGTGTGCCTCAAGGCTCAATTCTCAGCCCCTTTTCTGTTTCTTGTATACATTAATGACTTACATTGTCAGGGATAACCATGATATAGTATTATTTGCTGATGACACTTTCTTTAATTTTCAAATTAAAACAACAATTACTAAAATATGACGAAGTAAATAATGATAATAATTTGTATTTAAATTTAAATGGCACTGAAACAAAATGTATGAAATTCATGACTCCAAATGTTAAACAATTAAATACTAATGTAATTTGAAATGGGTTGGATCTGAGTCTTGTCGATACCACCATTTTTCTTGGAATCACATTAGACGTGAAGCTTCAACTGAGCCCCCATATAACAAAACTAGCAAGGAGAGTTATTTCTGCAGCATATGCTGTAAAAAAGATTAGGAATCTTACCAGAGTGGAAACAGCTAGACTAGTTTACTTTAGCTATTTCCGTAGCATAATGTCATATGGTATTTTGCTATGGGGATACATGGTTGACAATGAAATTATATTTGTTTTACAGAAGAGGGCCATAAGGGCAATTTATGATTTAAAGCCTAAAGAGTTGCTGTGACAAAGGTTTAAGGAAATTAATATATTAACTTTAGCCTCTCAATACATTTATGAAAATGTAATGTACATACACAAAAATAAAAATAGTTTTACAACAACAAGTGGAATGCGGGAAGTAAAGACTGTGTAATAACCTCTGAAGGAGGCGGAGTTATAGCCAAAATAAGATTTTTTTTTTGGTTTTTGGCCATTTTGACCCCGTAGGAGGGTTGTAATGAGAACTTTTTGCCCCTATTCAACCATGACCCCATGACATCCTCTACATGATAGGCACTTTTTTATTTGGGTAAAAAAACAATGTTGAATACAGTGACAACACCAGTATCATTTACCACAACTTAAATTAATATTTTAGATGTTGAGAGTAATAATAATTACTGCAAAACAAACTGAGTATTGAAACATGCATAACACATAACATTGGGACTATATCAAAAATATATTATATTTTATGAAAGCAATTAAACTATTCAAATGTATGTAATAATAGTGTTCAGGTAGTTTAAAGAGTGTAAAAAAAATTAGAAGCAAAAATCATAGACTTTTGAAAACTACTTAATTAATTAAATAAAAATTAACTAAGACTAAGAATAATTATATTCAAACTGACTAGGCCTAAAGTTCGAGTCACCCCCCAGCTTATTTCTAGTCTTTGCTTCTAACAAAAATAAGTGATATTCATTCGTAAATACTTGGAACAGACACAAGTTAGTAGTACCAGTTACTCGACTCCATTGAGTCAGTAATTCATTTTTGGGGTGAAATCTCAGAAAATAATTGGACCTACTCAGAGTTCAAAAACTTTATTAAACTAAGTTTGTATAAAAGGTTATTATAATATTAAGGAATTTATGGATGATAATAACCCCTGGGAATGTTCTTTTCTCTTTTTTTTTCTTTTCTCTTTTTAAAAAGGTTATCCCCACATTAGGATTTTCTCCTGTGTTGTGGAGGCAGTTTACAAACATAAATTGCACAAGGACAAACATCCAGACCTGGAACAATTATTTGTATGCCAAACAAATACTTGTTCCGTGCGGGATCCGAACCCGTGGACCCCAGCGCAACAACTCATTGCTAAGCCACTGTGCCGCGGAGCTGTTATTTAATAAAAAAAGTTGCACTGGGTTTCTTGCTGGCTCTTCCCAGGACAGGTTTTTTTTCAAACCAGTGGTAATTAAACAAAAGAGTGACATTCAATAAGTATTATTAATAATCTATATTGAATAAAAATAAACTATTTCTACTGAAATAAGATGTAGATCTAGAACTTTAATAGCAGCATAAACTTTGGCTTTAACATCAATAATGTGTAGCGATAGACCTCTTTACTGAACTTATTGAATTAAAACATCTTTTAAAATTTAAATTTATTTTTGTTTCTGAATTTATTTAATGAGAATGAACAGATCTTAAAAAAACTAATTATGGTTGCCGCATTCAACCCTTAGGTATACAATTGAATAAAAATTTCTAATAAAACAATTTGTAATAGAATTATTATATTACTTAAAGTATGTGTGTTTTTAAAGTTTTTTATGTAACAGCGCTATGCTATTAACTGAAATAAATGGTAAATACCTTTCTTCTACTTATGTATTCTATGAAGTCTACTGCTAGACATAGGCCTTTCCCTGGATGTAGGATTTGCTTCAATTGCCTCACTTGTGTGGGGAATATGCAGAATAGTGGCATAAAGGAATCTTTAAAAAGTGTTGTCCCTTAGGTGTCGTAAAAGGCGACAAAGGGAGGCAGGCAGGAGATGGGCAGCAGCATCATCCTGATAACAACAAACTTACAATAAAAAAACTGCGGTTGCCAACCCGCTCGCCAAGCGTGGCAACTATGGCAAATACCCCAATAATTGATACAAACAAATATTTAAAAGAGTTAAAATAAAATACCTAAAACTATCACTTCATTCATCATTGACACATAATATCGCTTTTAGTTATGATTATATGAGTAGTAGAGTTACAGCAAGGTTATCAAACATAAAAAAATGGTCAGAAATTCAAAAGAAGGTTAATATTTAGGTTTGAAGATTGAAATGGTGTACTATTGAAACCTTTTGCTGGTGTGGGACTGGGGCACCCATCCTATTTAGCTTTAAAGTGGTATTTTTCATTAGAGCTCCCCCCCTCTACCAACTAAACCGCTGTTTTTGGAAATGTGAAAAGTATACACAATAGTAGTCTTTATAATGAAGTTAAAAGGAAAACTATCACTATCAGCTTAATAGAATCAAGAAGTTAACGAGTAATAGTTGACCAACTTATAAAATGCACTTGGATTAGTAAAAAATTCGTTCCAACTCCATAGACAATGACCTAAAATTAGCTGCATTAATAACTTCTTAATGTTATTGTAAACTGTTAAAAATAAACCAATTTATGAAGAAAACGACTCATATGCATTACTACTATTAGCTTTACTTTTTCATTTGCAGGATAGATATGGTACCTATTATTATCAAAATCGAAACGCTTTTTTAATCATTTAGGAACACCACTCCCTATAAAGCGTCTCCCATACAGAAGCGGCTTGCGGTGGCGGTCAGTTGTATTCGCTTGCAATGTAAGAGAGTCTGCAAACCCGTGCGGCCATGTCGCGATCTGCAAGCGGCTGGCCGCGGCCGCATGCTCCACCCCTTCCGCCAACGCGTGTGTGTTAGCAAGTACGCGGCCAGTACCGCCTGAAAAATAGTGCTAAATTCAGAGATTGTAATAGAAGCAGAGCAAAATTATCCAGTACTTTATAGTAATAAAATATGATTTTTAATGATAAAATAATGATTTTTTAAAATATGATTAAAAATAAAATATATGATAATATTGCTGAATATAATAAGACTTCATCACGGTTAGCCATGTTTACTGACGTCTAATCGTAGCACAGACACCACAGTGAATGGCGCTTCAGGCCGCCGTTGCAACCGCGGTGGTGTGTTGTTGCAGCGGCTGCAGCCGCGGCTCGCGGTTAGCCGTCACCGCAAGCCGTTTCTGTGTGGGAGACGCTTAAGGCTGAAACTTCCTACTTGAGCCTATTTTTAGTCGTTATAGCGGTCAAACCGCGAACTCATTATGCTCATTACCAAGAAAACCCACGTATTGTGACGGGCAACTACGGAACCCTACCTCTACATTGTGCGTGGCCCATGTAGAGGTAGGGTTCCGTAGTGGCATTTAGTAGCATTTACTAGCTGTTCCACGCGACTTCGCCCGCGTGTAATGTTGGGTTTTAATTTTTTTGCGCGGAACCCTAATTCTTTTTCTGAAATAAAATGAGCCGAAGTTACTCCTTATAACATCTGCTATCTGCCAGTGAAAGTCCCGTCAAAATCGGTCTAGCCATTTTGGAGATTAGCCGGAATAAACAGACAGATAGACAAAAATTTAAAAAATTGTGTTTTTGTTAAAAGTACTGTATAAACTTTCATACGCATTTAG